TACCACCAAATCACGGCTCCCGCTTGATACTTCTTGACCATCTATTGCAGAATCGCGTTCTCGCTTGAGACTCCCTCGTAACTTACCACCGAGACGCTTCGCTCTATATTTCCTCATCATTTATTCAGATGCCGGCCCTACTCAGGAATCGCGCTCCCGATACATATTGCCTGGCGGTTCAAGCAGGACTCACGCTTCAACGACCCGCCCGCTCGACCCGCCCGTCGGGGCCTGCCCGCCCAACCAGCCCGTTAATGACTGCAGTCGCCGCTCGCTGCCCTTCGCCCGCCTTCGATGCCCCTCGCTGCCCGTACTGGTTCCGCGGTCGCCTTCGCTCGGTTCGGTGCCCTTCGTGGCCCCGTTGCTGCCCTCAGTGGCTCCGTCGCTGCCCTTTGTGGCCTCGCGTTATATGCCCTTCGTGGCCCCCGCTCGCACGCGCCCGCCGTGGCCCCATACGCATGCCCTTCGTGGCCCCGCTGTCGCCCTGCGTGGCCCCTCGCTGCCTTTCGTGGCCCCTTTGCTGCCCTCAGTGGCCCCGCTGTCGCCCTCTGTGGCCTCGTATAAGAATGCTCTTCGTGGGCCCGGCTTGTTCGCGCCCGTCGTGGCCCCATATGCATGTCCTTCGTGGCCCCGCTGTCGCCTTTTGTGGCCCCCTCGCTGCCCTTCGTGGCCCCGGTGCTGCCCTCAGCGGCCCCGTCTGCCCTCTGTGGCCTCGGATTTTATGCCCTTCGTGGCCCACGCTGGCTTTCTCACGATGTTCTTAGGAATCGCGCTATCGTTCGAGACTTCCTCGCGATTCACGCAGGGCCCACGCTTCAGCAACCCGCCTGCTCGACCTCGTCGCCTGGGCCCGCCTGCCCGATCTGCCCTCTATGGGTCTGCCCACCCGATCTGCCCGTCTGGTTATACCATTTGTTTTCTGCTCTTTGCCCCCCCTCCTGCTAATTTCTCTCGTGCTCCATTATTCCCCCTCCCCCTTCCACCCGTCCTCTCTTCCCTCGCTTTAGGGGCTGCACTAAATACACGTGGCAGGTAAGGAAGATTTTCCCCCAAGGGGGTACGATCGAAGACGACAAGGGCGGGTACCGAGGATTTGGCACATGCGTATTGGTTAGCACGTGAGCAGGTAGGAGCGAACAGTCTTAAAATTATTGTTGTTGTTGTTGGTGTTGTTGTTGTGGATGTTGTTTGGCGTCGTCCCCCCCGCGATCCACCCCGCGACCCACCCCGCGATCCGCCCGCGACCCACCCGCGACACACCCGCGACCCACCCCGCGACCCACCCCGCGACCCACCCGCGACCCACCCCGCGACCCACCCCGCGACCCGTCCGCGACCCACCCCGCGACCCGTCCGCGACCCGCCCCCCTCGACCTGGCCCGCGACCCACCCCGCGACCCACCCACATTGTTTTGACAAAAAACGGCGCCTGCGGCAGGCTCGCTGTGCAATCTGTAAGAATTAGGCGCCTGTTGCGGGCGGCTCCTGTAGAGCCTCACAGACTGCCGACGTCCCCGCCGCCCCCTCATTATTTGTTCCGCGACTGCGGGGCATGAGCGGCACGGTATTAGGTAGACTGTTGTTATTCCAAACCATCCTGTGGTGTTGGGTCCTCGTTTTGAAGAGACGTCGCCCCGCGTTCCTTCTTCCTTCCTCCTCCTCCCCTTCCTCCCCCCTCCCATCATCATCATCATCATCATCATCATCATCATCATCATCATCATCATCATTATCATCATCGTCATCGTCATCACCATGATCATCATCGACATCATCGACGTCATCATCACCACCATCATCATCGTCATCGTCATCACCCAATTCGGCACACCCCTCACACGTTTCGTGGCCCCATAGGGAGCTCCACCCAAGGCCCCCGTGGCTGCGTTCGCATGCGCCCACCGCACCCATTTCGGCGCACCCCTCACACGTTTCGTGGCCCCACAGGGAGCTCCACCGAAGGCCCCAGTGGCTGCGTTCACATGCGCCCACCGCACCGATTTCGGCACACCCCTCACACGCTTCGTGGCCCCATAGGGAGCCTCACCGAAGGCCCCCGTGGCTGCGTTCGCATGCGCCCACCGCACCCAGTTCGGCACACCCCTCACACGTTTCGTGGCCCCACAGGGAGCTCCACCGAAGGCCCCAGTGGCTGCGTTCACATGCGCCCACCGCACCCATTTCGGCACACCCCTCACACGTTTCGTGGCCCCATAGGGAGCCTCACCCAAGGCCCCCGTGGCTGCGTTCGCATGCGCCCACCGCACCAGTTCGGCACACCCCTCACACGCGGCACCGCCTGGCTGCACGTTTTTCGTGGCCCCACAGGGAGCTCCACCGCCCCACAGTTCGGCACACGATAGGGAGCTCTGCGGCATGCGCTGGCACACCCCTCACACGTTTCGTGGCCCCACAGGGCGTGTCCACCGAAGGCCTCGGTGGCTGCGCTCGCATGCGGTTCCACCCCCCATTACGGCACACCCCTCACACGTTTCGTGGCTCCATAGGGAGCTCCACCGAAGGCCTCGGTGGCTGCGCTCGCATGCGGTTCCACCCCCAATTGTGGCACACCCCTCACACGCTTCGTGGCCCCATAGGGAGCTCCACCGAAGGCCCCGGTGGCTGCGTTCGCATGCGGTTCCGCCCCTCATTCTGGCACACCCCTCACACGCTTCGTGGCCCCATAGGGAGCTCCACCGAAGGCCCCAGTGGCTGCGCTCGCATGCGGTTCCACCCCCAATTTCGGCACACCCCTCACACGTTTCGAGGCCCCATAGGCGGCGCCGCCCCATTTCGGCACACCCCTCACACGCTTCGTGCCCCCATAGGGAGCTCCAGCTAAGGTCCCCGTGGCGCAGTGCGCATGGCGCCGCCGCCCCATCTTGGCACACCCCTCACACGTTCCGTGGCCCCACAGGGAGTTCCATCTCAGGTCCAAGTGGCGCAACTCGCATGGCGCCGCCGCCCCATTTTGGCACACCCCTCACACGTTTCGTGGTCCCATAGGGAGGGAGGAGGAGGTGGAGGAGGAGGAGGAGGAGGAGGAGAAGGAACCCCCACGATATCCACAATTGCGGTATTCACAACTACGTATGGTTGGGTCTTTCGTCAGGCTAATTTTTTTCTGGGCGACGGGACGTGATGAAGACGTTAGGACCAAAGTCGATTGAGCCGTGCATGGGAACCGACCCAGCCAGATCAGTTATGTTGTCAGGGGCATGCCGTATGCCCCGACCATCGTGTGGTGCTGGGCTTTTTGAAAATCTAGTGCCCAGCGTTCTCTCCTCTCCTCTCCTCTGCCCCCCTTCTCCTCCATCCTCCCACCTCTTCCTTTGCCCCCGCATGTCCAAGTCGGCACAACCCTCCACAAGCTGCGTGTCCCCATAGGGAGCTCCATCGGAGGCCCCAGATGGGAGCTCCACCGAAGGCCCCAGGGGGAATGTTCGCAGGTGGGCGTCACGCCCGTGTCGGCAAACACCTCACGTGTTACGTGGCCCCATAAGGCGCCCCACCGACGACCCCAGAGCGATCGTTCGCATGTGGGCGTCACGCCCGCTTCGGTATACCACTCACGCGATTTGTGCCCCGATATGGGAGCTACACCGAAGTCCCCAGAGGGAGCGTTCGTATGTGGGCGTCACGCCAGCTCCACCCAAGAAGGGAGCGTTCGCATGTGGGCTTCACGCCCGCTTCGGGACGACCCTCACACGTTGCTTGGCATCAGAGGGAGTTCCACCGATGGCTCCAACGGGAGCGTTCGCGTGTGGGCGTTGCACCCGTTCCGGCACACCCCTCACCTGTTTCGTGGTCACATACGGAGCTCCACAGAGGGCCCGAGAAGGATCGTTCGCATGTGGGCGCCACGCCCGTGTCGGGACGCCCCTCACGCGTTTCATGGCACCAGAGGGAGTGCCACCGAAGGTCCCACAGGGAGTCTTCACGTGCAGGCGTCAAACCCGTTCAGGCGCACCCCTCACATGTTTCGAGGCCCCGTAGTGAGCTCTACCGAAGGCCCCAGAGGGAGCGTTCGCAGATGGGCGTCACGCCCAAGTCGGCACATCCATCACGCGTGTTGTGGCCCCACAAGGAGCTCGAACGAAGGCCCCAGCGGGATTGTTCGCATGTGGGCGTCACTAGGGCTTCGGTACACCATTCACGCGCTTCGTGGCCCCACAGGAAGCTCCACCGAAGGCCCCAGATGTAGCGTTCGCATGTGGGCCTCACGCCCGTTTCGGGGCACCCCTCGCGCGCTTCGTGGCCCCATAGGGAGCTCCGCAGAAGGCCCCAACTGCACGGTCCACATACGGCCCACACCTCCCCTACCCCATGTCGGCATAGCTCTAGCCCGCCTCTTCGCCCCATGGGGGAATTCACCGGAGACCATACTCACAGCTGCGCCATTCACAATTGAATAAGTCTGGGTCCTTCGCCAGGATCATCTTTTTTCAAGGCCTGCCCAATTTATGCGGCCATGCTAGGGTCTGGTCATCCCCAGCCTGCGTTTGCACACGCGCGCCGCACCGGGCACCAGAGTCCCCCCGTCCTGTCCGATCCATTTGCGCATCACGCCGACAGGACGAAGAGCTGATGATGAAGATCAGCAAGAAAATTCAGACCACGAACTCCGAAGCCAAACAGCCCGGCAAGCCGTCTGCGTTCCAGCAAGGCTACGAGTGGCGATGTTGTTGCCTCTCTTTGCGAAAGATCGATGTCTATCCTGCGAGCACGTCTGGGCTTGTTTCGGATCTTGATGCGTAGAGATGCCTCGCATTAGTTGATGCATTTTGTGAAGGCTGTCGGCAGGAATGTGTTGTTGGGTGATTCAGCTTCCTTATGGTGTCGACTCTTACTGTCGCCTCCAGGTTGATCAGCAGTGCATGATATGAGCAATGCCCTTATGGTAAGACGACCAAGACGATGAATCAGCGAGCGAGGCGGAAGGTTTCAAGCTGCGGGCGACCTCGAGGGCGCGCCCTGGAGAGCCCCTCACACCCCCCGAGGCGACATGCCGCAGTCCGACGACGCAAAAGCCGGAGGCGGGCCGCCCCATCGCCCTTTGCTGCGGCGCGGAGGGGCCGCACGGGCGGGCCTGCGCCATGCGGAGGACAACGGGTGTCCGCGGCTCGGTCGGCTCGGCTGCGTCGCAGTCGGCTGCGCTCGGTTGGCTCGGTTCGGTCGGCTGCGGCGGCATTGCGCCTTCGCTGCGTCGGCAGGTCTGGTTTCGTTCGGGTGCGGTCTCGGTGTCGCTCTCGATCGGTTTCCGGCTGTGCCCTCGCCGCGGCTGGTCCCGGGAAGAAGCAGGAGGAGTTGTTGTCGTGTGCCATGCTGAAGTGCGGTTTGCGGCCGCAGGGCGGCTGACGCGCGGAAGCCGGGCGGCTTTCTCATCCGAGAGCAGTCTTGGGTTCTCAACGGCCGTAGTGGCGCGGCATAAAGAGTGGGACGAGAGGGGGGGAATAGGAGAGGGGTCGCTTGCGAAGTCTTTGCTGCGTGCTGCTGGTTTCGGCCCGGCCGCCAAGCGGTTTCCTCGACACATGGGCGTCTTCAGCGCCGACGTACGTGAGTTGAGTCGCTCAACTCCCCTTTAGAGCAAAGTCTCCTGCACGGGGCAAACCCGGCGCACCCGGCGCACCCGGCGCACCCGGCACACTCGGCACACCCGGCACACCCGGCACACCCGGCACACCCGGCACATCCGGCGCACCTGGCACACCCGGCGCACCCGGCACATCCGGCGCACCCGGCGCACCCGGCACACCCCGCACACCCGGCGCGCCCGGCGCACTTGGCGCACCCGGCACATCCGGCGCACCCGGCGCACCCGGCGCGCCCGGCGCACCCGGCGCACCTGGCACACCCGGCGCACCCGGCACATCCGGCGCACCCGGCGCACCCGGCACACCCGGCACACCCGGCGCACCCGGCGCACCTGGCGCACCCGGCACATCCGGCGCACCCGGCGCACCTTGCGCACCCGGCGCACCTGGCGCACAGGGCGCACCCGGCACACCTGGCACACCCGGCGCACCCGGCGCAGCACCCGGCGCACCCGGCACACCCGGCACACCCGGCACACCCGGCAAACCCGGCGCACCACCCGGCGCACCACCCGGCACACCCCGCACCTGGCGAACCCGGCGCACCCGGCGCACCCGGCGCACCCGGCGCACCCGGCACACGGCACACCCGGCACACCCGGCGCACCCGGCGCACCCGGCACCCCGCACAAGCGACTCTTATGCCCCTTTACTATCCCACCCGTTCGTCCGATCCGAAAGTGATTTCACCAACGCGCAAAGCAAACGAAGCAACAACTGGATGCTTCCTGCAAGTTCGCACCGCGTTAACACGGCGCAGCGGCGACCCCAGCGCGGGCGTTCCAGTTTGATCGCCGCCAGTGGCCGGGACTCGGCAGGCATCGAATGATACGCGCTATCGGAGAGCCAGTCGGCATTCAACGATCCGCCTGGCAGTGCCAGGAATCAAAACTGATGCATCCAAACGTGAGCCCGCAGTTCTCTCTGTGGTTTGTGTCATCGGGAGCTTGCTGGGGGGCGTCCTGTGGCTGCTCTCGGTGCATGCTGGAGGCCTGCTGGAGGAGCTTGGGACCGTTCTCTTAGAGGTCTGGGGCCGCCTGCAGGAGTCTTTGGCAAGTCTTACCCTTCCGATGGCGTGCCCCCAAAAAGGACCGACAGGGGTTGAGGCGCTTTCCAAGCCTCAGAGCACAAAACCTGCTGGAACAAAGTCTTACATGTGAGGTATTGGGGCGTCTTGGCCGGGTGCCTCTTCGGGCCATCCCTGGAGCTTGCGGGGGGGAAGGGGAGGAGAAGGAAGAGGAGGAGGAAGAGGAGGAGGAGGAGGAGGTGGCAAACCGCCTCTTGGAGCCCTTGTGGGACGCTCTTTGGGCGCTCTCAGGGCCGTCTTGGGGCCGTCTTGGGGCCCTCTTGGGGCTCTCTTGGGGCTCTCTTGAAGGCCCCGACGGCCTCTTCGGGCCATCTTCTACGGCGTTGGTTTGCCTCCGCCCCCTAGGGCCACCACACGTCGCCTCTTGGAGTCTTCTTTGGGCGCTCGTGGGCCCCTCTTGCGGCTCTCGTGGGCCATCTTGAGGCCTCCAAGGCGCATCGGAAGCGAAAGTGAGAAACGGCACACATCATTTATTTGTTTTTCAGGTGTATGAATGAGTTTGGCCTCTGGGGGGGAGTCCTGCGGGGCTCCGACAGCACTTGGAACCGTCTTGTGGCCCTCGTCGGGCCTCCTGGAGGTACGTCGAAAGCCATCTTGAGCCACCTTCGGCTATACTAACCCATCTTGGAGCACCGGAGGCCCTCTCGGAGCCATCCTAGGCGCTCTAACCCTCCGTCCCCCCCGTCCGGACTTGTGATGGAAGACGCCCCAGAGAGGAGGGGTTCAGGTAGGAATCGCCGAATTATGAAAAAAATAAAACAAATACGAAACAAATGTGAACTCATGAAAACATCAAATTGTACAAAAATTGTCTACGCGATTTTCGAAATTGCGAGAGCCAAGATTGCTCTGCTCGCGCGACCACCGCATGAACGCGAGGGGGCAAGACCTTCTTCGGGACGTTCGGCTACAAACCCTTCCGCGAGAAATGGTCAGCCGCGGAAACGAGATGCCGTTTAGTAGGTCCATTTGCAGAAGTGAAATGTTTCGGCAGATTGAATAGGGGCCGCGCGATTCCGACGCGAGGTAGCAACGCGCTCGTCGCTGATGCAATGTACGCCAACTAGTTGCGAGAACTCGCCCTCCTCCTGCCAATAAGCGAATGGTCGACACAGTAGACGGCACTCGCTGCAGCTACTTTCCTATGCGCTCACCCATCGGCGTGCAGGGCCCTGCAGGATCAACGCGCGCGTTGAAGTCGCGCCCGCTGCCATTGCGGCATTATCCGCGCGATGCATTTAACGCCCTCGTCGGTTTAGGGGCAACGCTTGCGGTTCGGCTGCATCGCCTGCAGTCGACCTGGCACCGTCTTGGGTTCGCAGCTTCATGTTTGCCCTGAACCTTGCGGCCAACGCTCTCGCAAGTTGCGATGGGCCTTCGACGTCGCCCCCGTGCCCAGCAGGCGTTCGCCTGGGCACCTTGCGCACGAACAAAGTGCGCGCTTGTGTTGAAAAGTTCAGGACCCTCCATCCAATTTGGAATCGGCAATGCCTCACGTTGCCGTGCGCGGTCGAGGGCCATGGTTCCTCTGTTTGCGGGGCCTGCGCGTTCCCACTAGACATGGGTCCTTCAACCGCGCGTTCTGCGCTCTTGTCCTCAAGCGCCTGGCTCCGCTCGAAGTCGGGATGTGGGGGGCTCGCGGCGTGGTAGGGTCGCGTGGGGTGGTGGTCGGGCGGGGGGGGGGGGGGGCGCGATCGGCGCGCGCTGCTTGTGCGGGATGGCGTGCGTTTGTGGGTGGCGGTGGGATCGGTTTGGCGGTCGTGGGGGGGCTCGCGTTGTGGTGGCGGTGCGTGCAAGTGCTGTTGTTGCACGTGGCGGCTGAGTGCGTGCGCGGGCTTGCGCGCGCGCGCGTTTGGCATCGCGCGTGCGGGGGGGGGGTGTAGGGGGGGGGGGGGGGGGGGGACTCTTTCCATGGGTTGGTGGTCTGCGGGAGGGGTTGGGGGGTTTGGCTGGGCGAGCGCGCGGCGGGGTCAGTTTTTCTTGTGGTGACGGTGGGCGCGCGGAAGGAGACACTTGGCTGTGACCATTCTGCGGCGCGCGTGCTCCCTCAGTCAGTATCGAATCATTCGGCCACAAGGGCAAGGGTGCAGATTTTGGGTTGCTGAGGGGGGTGCGATTTTGTTTTGTCGTTTGTTTTTTATATTCTGCAAGGCGGAGGAGGAGGAAATGGAGGAAGGGGATCAGGAAGAGGAAGATAAGGCAACATAATCAGGGTGGTCTTGGTTAGCTAGCACGACAGGGCCTGGCAAATGTTCTCATGTGTACAGAAGCAAGGTATGGGGGGCCTTCTTGATTTTGCCACAATTTCCCAGGGTAGCGCCCGTCGCCCCCCGCTCCGCCCCGCTAGAAGGCAATCGGGTTTCCCTGGCGTTTGGCGTTCTTGGTCCGATTGTTTCCGCGGCAATCCTGCTACTGCGACGGCCCTCAGAAAGGGGGCCGCGCCGCCAGCGCTGCCACGGGGGCAAAGGGCGACTGGGGGCGCCTCGCCACGGTTCGCTCGTCAGCTCGTGTTAGATTGACAGGGATGTGGTGGTATGTTTCCGCTCGCCGTCGTCCGCGGCCCCGAAATCCTTTCGCCCAGGTCTTGAAATCCAGCTCGGACACGCGCGGGTGCGACATGTCATGGTGTGCATCGCGTGCCCAAATATAGCTCAAACACGGGCTCCGATGTCGATTTGTGCACATCTACGGGTTTCGTCGTTCTGCGGTTGTGCGTCCGCGGCCGTTGTGGATCAAACCAGCTGGCTTCTTCGAGAATCTCGATTCCAGTTTTTTTGCCCAGTGTTCGCGCACCGTGCGCATTCCATATTATTTCGCGGTTCGCCGCCCCCATATCATTCTCAGTGGATTGGATGAGGGTTCTGATTCTTCTCCACTTGGCGGTTGTTGCCGCTGCTATCCGCCTCGAGTGCGACACGTGGTATTCTCGGCCGTGCAGACGCGCGTGGGCGATGAGAAAATCTTGGGGCCACAAGTCAGATGCAGCTCGCTCGGAGCAGAATGCACGGAAACAGTCTTGGGGCGCAGCATCGGCACCGTTGCGCGGCCAGAGGGCGTCGTGGGCTTCCTCGGCTGGAGGCAATGTTCGACGGTCCTGGTCTAGTCACGCGTCTTTCGGTGATGTTTCTGATTCCAGCCCCGATGCCGACCTGGATGCGCCGCTCGTTGAGGCGCCAAGCGGTGAAGAGCACGCCGATGATGGTCTCATCGATTATGGCGGCGGTCTTCTGGGGTTCCCGACGCCAGCGCCAGCAGACGCAGATCTCGATCGCGATGGCGACGTCAGTGCTGGTATCGGTAGCGTCGCTAAAGATGCTGTTGCCAGCCGTCCCGTTTCACATGATGATGTTCTGGC